ATGTTTTACTACAGTCTTCATCACACTCGTTTCCATTTAAATATTCTTCATTTTCACCGCATTGACATACACTACTGCCTAAGACACATTGTCCATTTTGTCTTACATACCCTTCATTGCAGAAGCACGATTTGAAGCATTCTTCTTGAGAACAATCCAAAGTTCCATCGATATTGCACTGTTCCTCGCAACGACTTCCATATCTGTATGTCTCATCTGCATTACACGGGCATTGGGTATCAGGAACGCACACTCCTCCGATTCTCTTGAAGTTCTCCTGGCAGAAGCAATCAAAGTACTGTTTTTGACTCAAACATTCGCTGTCAGGCGTCCCACATTGGTCGAAGCACTTATTTCCATATTTGTATTCTTCATTGCTAGGGCACTGACATTTCGATGGTGGCTGACATACGCCGTCAATTCTCTTGTAATTACCCACACAATAGCATTTGTTGCGGCACTTTTTGTTCCAACACTGCACAGACTTTGTGCTACAGTCTTCATCACAGTCAGTTCCGCACTTGTACTCCTCATGAGGTGGGCATTCGCAATCCTCTTCAGGCACACAACGACCATGAACTCTCTTGAATCCTTTAGCACAGAAGCATCCTTCACTGCAGCTCTCGCTCTTGCATTCATCGCTTGATTTTGTGCAGTCTTCATTGCAAGACTTTCCGCAAGTTGTGTATACTTCATTTGGTTTTGGGCATTCGGGTGGTGGACAGTTGGATGCAGGAACACACACACCTCCAACTCTCTTGTATCCACTTATGCAGAAGCATCCCTCTGTGCAGGGTTCTTTCTTGCACGCCTTACCAGATGCGTCACAATCTTCATTGCAACGTTTCCCACAGGTGGCGAACTCTTCATTAGCTGGACACTGTGGTTCCGTTGGACAATCACGCTTCTTGATACATTCCCCAGTCGTAGGATGCCGAGCGTATCCCTTCCGACAGTAGCATCCTGATGGACAATTGTTGTCATATTTGCGCGCATCACAATCACGGTCCACACCGTCGCAAGTTTCCTGACAGGCAGGAGCTTGGCCACATGGCAACCACACTTCATTCTTGGGACAGTAGGGTTCTGGGGAAAGGAGAGCATTTGAGCGATAAAATTGTGATCCATACTAGAGTTTTCAGTGAATTACCTGGGCAACTCTTCTGCGGAATACAAGGTCCTCCATCTCCATCTCTGGCGTATCCTGGTTTGCAATAGCATCCATCCTTGCACTTTTTACTGGTGAATGGACAAGCCTGGCCTAAATTAGAGCACGTGACTTGGCAAGGGGATCCGCAAGTCACGTACTCTTCGTATCTGCCACAAGTTGTCTGGGGTTTCTCGGTGGTTGTTGTGGTTGTGGTGGTGGTTGTCGTGGTGGGAGCCTTCTGGGGAACATATTCAATGGATGGGCAACTTTTCACGTGAATACACTGATTTGTCACCGGATGGCGAGCGTATCCACTTTTGCAATAACATCCTTGAGGACATGTGCTGGCCGACAGCTTGATGTTGCAGGCTTTCCCATAATTTTCACAGGTTGCCTGACAAAGCGGGGCCTCGCCACAGAATAGATACTCCTCGTGTTTCGGACATGTAGGTCCTTAACAGAAAAAAAGGAGTTGAAATTTCCAAAAGAACTGCTTGAATTATGCGATACACTCACTTGAACACTTCTTTTGGGATATGCACTTTCCGCCTGGGCCCTCTCTCACGTATCCTGGGCGACAGTAACATCCCGGGCGGCATTCATTAACAGTACACGCCTTTCCAATTGTAGAGCAATCGATTTCACATGAGGGGCCACAGTTGAGATACTCCTCATGAGAACCACATTTAACCGGGCGAGATTTTACACTTGCTGCTGTATCATTAGAAGCGGCATGAACTGAAAAATCATTTTCGATTTAGTAATAATTTCATTTGGCAATTGTAAAACTTCACTGACTTTTCACAGTACCACTGTACTCAGTTAACTCTGGAAGATCCGACGTCTCAAGGGATTTGCCCAGAGAATTTGTCACCAATGCCACAAAGCACAGTAAAAGTTGGAAACTCCACTTCAGAGCCATGACTTCTAGGAGAAGTCTTGGGAAGAACTGAAATTTTCTGATTGATTTCGGCTTTTTATTAGTTTCGGCAAACCCCACCAAAAGTTGTGCTCTTTACCTTTGATTTTACCTTTTTCTTCTCATAGAAAACCAGATTTTTTTTCTATTCTCTATGTGGATGCTAAAGAGAGAGACCCACATGCCAATGTCCTCTGATGCCCATCATAATCTATTCTATACAACATAAGACAAATATCTTGAGGATTTGCCAAAGTATCTCGTTTAGTTTTCTACTCAGTGATTTAAGAAATATCATACCTTATTATTTATTCATGGTTTTTTCACGTTATATATTATAGAATTTCAAAGGGTTCAGTGACCACTGTCGCACAGACTCTCGGGCTATAACTAATTGGTGACGTATGTAGATTTCAGGCATTCCGGAATCTGAGTGTTAAAGCATTGATCTCTTAAGTGGACTGTAAGTGATGAAATTTTTATATCATGTAGAACTCTTGAATATAAATGAATGCGTCCCGTAGAGTTCATAAAACATTCCCATATTATATACATATGTACTTCAAGGATGCGAAGCGGCTTTGGCAATGTTTTCGCAAATGTTCCTCTCATAAATTAACAAAGAATAACAAACACCGAAAAATTAAGTATAGATATGTAGATGATTATCTCCTTACAGTCTCTCATTTATTTTGCCATTTTGACCTCAGTTTCGGGAGTTCAGAATAATATCCGAGAGATTTGCTTTGCAAATCACTGGTGAGTTTTAATCTTCTTTCGATTCTTTTAGTTTCATTTCGTGAAAGATGAGATTTTTTGAGAAACCAATGAACTTCTAACCAGTTTTAGAGGGAATTTATATGCTTACTTGTAGAGAAATTGTAGAAGAAACTGGTTAGGTCAATGTTCCTCCCCAAAGTGCTTTGCATAATTTACAAATTCTTTAACATCATAGTTTCTGAGATAAGTAAAATTTCTCTAAACTCAATATTCAAATGCGTGTTCTTTGATTGGCCCTTCCTAAAACTCTTGTTTAATCTTCACATAAGAAACACATAAATAAAATGTCTATTTTTGGTCAAACATAACCACATAAGAAAGGTGAACTCATTATGAAATCCACGTGTCGAAGATGCAGCTAGAAATTATGACAATGCGACGCCTTCCACTGTAACGGAATATACCTACAAGTTTATATGTATAACACAGCTGGGCTGCTGCCCATGCACAATACACCTGATTTATGATTGACAATCAAAAGTTGAAAGAACTCTTGAGTGTTTATGAATCTGCTTGAAACCTGTTGAACATCAAAAATGTCTCCGGCATTGAACTTGATCTCACTTTCAGTGATTGCCTAAAAAGTATCTCTTCTGCTTATATGTATACAGTAAGAAGGCCGGTGTATATAGCGATGACATCATAAATATTTTGTTCAGTGCAATAAACGTATTTTCCACCAGACGGTTAACCAGAGGCGAAAATAAAACGACTGTAGTCTGAACAAACAAAAAGTGGTACAAGGCGGGAGGTATTAAGAGGAGGAATAAAAAGTCTGAAGAATATGTAAATAAACAAGCAACAACGTATCGTAAATGTTGTTGAATTTCATTCATAAAACTAATAGTAGGTATGTAGTATATTTTCACCATATGCGTTGCTTTTTGCTCCAATTATACGGTATGGGAGTGACATAAGAGGTTTAAAAAAAAGGGCTCTCGTGGTGTGTTTTTTTTCTACTTCTTCTGTTTTTATATGTGAGAAAGTGAAGTATACTGAGCAATACCAAGTTCATTGGAAATGTGAACACGTTGAAAAACTTAGCGAGAAGTTAGGAAACGGAAGTTCCAGGCTTATAGACTGGAAACACTTCATCATAGCAATTACTTAAAAGTAACCTGTGACATTAAGCATTATAGTAATCACCGATAGAGCAGACAGAATCAGAATGAGAAACTTTGAGTGATTAAGGTAAATATCAATAAGTCTATTGAATTATTCACTAATCCGCCCCGAAGAGTGTTCTGAATGAGACATAATGGATAGACTAAACAGCTTTATTTCAAACAGTGTCAGTACTACAAGTCTTTATGCAAGATCTTTGCTGTTTTTCCTTAAACACTGAATGGCGGTGACACTTGCATACGCGTACTTTCCATACCTCCTAGCGTTGGAGGAATTGATCCAGGAAGAAACATCTCTGCGTGAAATAAATGAATTTGTATAATATGTGAATGAAAGAAGGATTTGTTAAAACACTATCTTACCAAATGTGCCATTTTCAAGAGCAGGGAAAAGTTTCGCGTCTGACATATCTGAATACATAGCTCCCTCTGGAAGGTCGATTTGAGCAACTCTAGGCTGCATCAGGTTAGGATCAACTGGTGTTGCGTTCTGTATTGGTGTGAATTTTCAATAAAACCTTTATCATTTTCCTCAGTATTGTCCAAATCGAGTAATGCTTACCAAATTTGCAAACAGAGCACAACAGATGAGTCCTACGAAGGCCAACATTTTCGAGATACTTCAATCGTTTCAGTAAATTTAACAATGATAATAAAATTCGTAAGCCCATCTCATTTATATATGAGATACTCTGAGCCATATAATCGATTCTAAATGATCACTGTTTTTCACTCTTATTAATGAAATTAAGCTACTTTTTCCATCTTCACCATCATCAGCTCGACAGTAAAATGCTTCGCTGATTGACATAATAATGTACACTGTTGAAAGTGAGCGTTGCTAGGGAGTTTTCTAAATATATCCCCTCAACAATAGACTTCGACTTTAAAATGCCATGCAGAATGTGGAAGTTGTAAACAATTTGTAGCCGTGTAAAGTGCTTCTCATCTGCCGAACAGCCGTGTACGATAATTAATTGGGATGGGAATAGGAAAAGGCGAGAAAAAAGCTTACCATTCAGTACAATATATTTTGCACACAGTCTCATTACATATTTTCTTGCTTATAACATTGAGAAGTGATAATTTAATTTTTGGCCATAAAATACAGAAATATTTCTTTGTTTTCTTTACTACTACGTAAATGCTGGCTAACCGCTCATCATCCTTTCTTTCCGCTGGCAAAACAGTGTTTTTACACAACAATATCACGACTTTGGGTTGCTGGTGGTCCATTGACACTTTCCCATCTCATGTTGGGTGTTATGCTCGGAAATAGACGACTCAGAAGGTTCCACAGTGCAAATATGACATCGTGATTCATGAAGCAAAACAAACACGAAACACAAAATCCCTGGAAAGTAAAATAAAAAAAAAGAGAGAGAATGTGTGGAGGGAAATTGGAGATGTGATAGCGAAGGTGGGGAACGCAATTCAGAGGAGCTTAAGAATTTTTTAGACTTGCTCTTCAAGTTTTCAACTTTTCTTCGCTCCAAAGAAATGAGTATAGAGAGTGTTCTTAAAAGCATCACTTGAGACATTGATTGGGATTTAATGGGATTCTCTTGAGGGTCTTTGTGTCTCTTTGGCCACTATACCTGAAGGCTCACGAGAATGGCCGAGGCGATTTGGTAGTACTGCTCCAGGGGAGAGCCTGCGTCCGGCCGGAAGGGGAGCAGGATGTGCTGGAGGCCAAAGAGTGGCACCAGAATGAGGGTGGCTCGCACTGCCTTCCGAAGTCCCAGCGGAGCTGGCTGGGCCGAGCAGGGGTGTAATTTTGTGAGTAGAACACGGACGACATTAATCAGGAAAACTATATTCAAAGAAGAGAGGAGTGAAATTAGTGTGAGACGCCGAAATAGCACATAAGCTGCTTTTTCAACCCATGGAAGCAATTAATGAAATGCAAACGGGAATTGTGAGTATCCACATGAGCTCGGAATCTTCCATCCAGCATCTGTATGGGGAGAAAGAAGTAGATTTCTCGTGAGACACTTCTTCTCAAAACTGGATTGACTATGTACACACTGTTTGGCAGCTGTGGCGTTCTGTCCACGGATTACAGCGTAAACTGACACGAGAATAATTGGGAGAATCCAGCCAATTATCGTAAACCACCTCATGGCAACAGCATCCTTTACAAATACCTACGAATAGGGAGGGCAAAAAATTAACAGAGAAGTTAATTTGTGTACATTACCGAGCATATTTCCGCAATACTGACCACAACCAGCACGAGATGTAGGTGGAGTCCTTCGCAGAACATCCAAAAATAATTCACCAGCATGAGATAGTGAAGGACTATGTGGAGAGCAACACATCCAGTCTGCAATGGAACATTTTATTGATCTGTATGAGTACAAATTGATTTGCCAGGTCTACATTGACAGTCTCGCCTGGGGCAATATCTCTCGAAGCGCGTAAAAATTACTTAATGACTTCATTTAGTATGTGTGGCGCGCAATATTGCACGAACAACCCTCGGGAGAATGAGGCAAATTGCAGCGAAGCGTGGGAATTCAGTGAATGCGAACTTCTGCGAACAATTGCTGAGCTTGGATGAATTTTAAATTAGTTTGTGCAATTTTGTTTCGAAAAATATACTGCATAATATAATTTTGTCATCGACTGATATGCACAAGTGAAAAACAGATTTCACCCTCAAAGTATATATATTATCGGAAGTTGCACTCAAGCGAGTCAATTTCCTCTCTAAGGTTGATGCTCTCTTGCCTCTTGTCGGAGTGCTCGAGTGCAATCCTAGTGAGAGACGCTGGTGTGATTGCACAAAGTGAGATAAGATTGTCTACGTGAGTATTAAGGAGGAAAATTGTATGAATTTATTATATACAGAGCACTCCTCTTCTTGCTCGCATTCAAGCTGCGTTTGTTTACGATTAGGCATGGACTTAAATGTTAATTGACATCCTGCAGAGAAGAAGTTAGTTACCGTATTGTCTCGTATCGTGTCCGGTTTCTCCACGACTAATTTATACCAGAGAATCCAAGCGGTGCACGTGAAGGCCAGCGAAATAAACAAGTGTACGTGGATTTTTATCCTCGTGCAGCGCAGTGATCTGGAAAAACAATAACATCCCATTAGTCTTTCCCGCGAAGGAGGGGTGAAATTGAAAATTTCCAGTTTACCTAAAGCTGAGAAAGATGACAAGAGAGATTATTAAAGTGACTAGTGAAATTATATAACCTCTAGTGTACAAATCGTTGACTATTTGTCTGAACTGCAAATACAAAACGAGAGAAAATATTTGCATGGAAATTAATGAGTCAATTGACGAGTGCAACTGATGAATGCCAAAAATGGGGTGACGGGAGATACTTAATTGTTTTCAATTTTAAATTTAATTTCACATAGATTGAATATAAAATATTTATTATGTGCAAATGTACACTGAGAAAAACATAAACAAAATAAGTTTCTGTATGACTTTCACTGCATCGATTGCAAAGTGTTTGTAGAGCGCAATTATTGAAATGTGATTGTACTAAACACACTTTGCACAATCATTAAAATCATGATTGAAATGATTACAGTTTATATTTGTTAACCGCAACTAAAATTTTCTCAGTGTTTATTAGCTTGTTTTGTTCAATCAAGCTGATTTTTAGTTAATACAGAAATTCTCTTAAAAATAATTAAACGCTCATTGTTTGTATTTAATTATCTCAACATAATTGATACACGTTCTTGTGCGACAAGAGAACACAAATTGGCCCTTTTAAACATGCAAAAGCTTTTCAATACATAAAATATGCAAAAATAGTTCCTAGAAACACCGCAAATTCTATAGTATTTCTCTGTTATCCTATTGATTTGAGAGTGGGTGGAGGAGAGACACTGGCAATGTTTTAAAAATAGACCCATTTCACTTGATGCTGAAATAAATCGAGACAGATATGTATGAAATGTATGCAAAAAATGGAGGAGAGAGAAAGGAATTCTCAATGGAAATTGAAATCGATTATTGAATAGATGAGGGACTCATTTCACCATGGCAAAGGGGGAAAACTTCCCTTGCGATTACATACTCTCCATGTCTTTTAGGATGCCCAATGGATTGCCCGTGGAAGGAAATTGAATATCCTTCTTCCTGATTTCCAAGGTCCATAAACAATTTTATTGGTTCTGAGAGAGCTTCTTTCCCCCCCTTCTTGTCATATTAATAATTTTCATGGGGCACATGTGAGGGATTTCGTATGGGAAAAAGTATTGAACATAATCACAAACCACCCTCAAAGTTCCCTGTCCCAATTTTTTGGGTGGGTTGCCAAGAGTTGTTGCTCTCCGTCTAAGCACCTGAAAAGCGCTCCTTTCACCCGTGGGCTGGCAAAAAAGTGTGTGGTAAACATTGAATTCTGTCTATGAAATTCCCCTGTATTTATTTATAAAAAGAGGTATGATATGTGTGTGAAGAGGGATGGAAAAATTCTCACATGCACACACCATCGTAAAATCTACTTTAACATTAGGTTCGGCACATGTTGCTCCGTATCTGCACCTTTTATCCATTTTATTATAAAATTTTATGTTGTGCTAATAGCCGGAGGGTGTATGGGAAGTGGGTGAGCGGAGGGGCGCACAGCCAGAGGGCGAAATATCAAAGCAGGGATAAACATGAGGTCCTCCTCGTATGGTTAGAATCAAACCACATTCGGGGGACGGTGGAATTTTACCTCGAAATCCTCAATGTCCACGCAAGTGGTGTAATTGGACCATACATTCCCGGTCTCAGGATGCGAGTACCAAGTGCCATTTGGCAAGCACCTGAAAGTACACAAGATCATTGGAGAGTCACGCAGAAGATGAACAATTTCCCGCTCCACTGAATTCTCCATTCACTTCACTTACGTCTTGTAGGCTAAGCGTGAACTATCGAAGCCGGTGACGAAATCCGGGCAGTGCTGCGAGACTATGGAGTCAGCTGCCGTCGGAGGCCAGCACAAGTAGCCGTCGAAGGTTCTGGGACACTGAAGACCATGCGATGGATTTCCTGGAGAAATTTACAGTGACTTTTCGTCCCCTCACTTCAAAGTGTCGATGATGGAAGTTGATGGGATGAAAAAAGCATCTCGCTAATTGACGGTAATTGAATTGAGCTTTCTTTGATGACAATTGAGTTAGAAGAGAGATTCTTATCACATTTATTATAAGGAAAATGGGGAAGGGGGATGAAAGTTGTGAATTGCCAGTAACTTTCTTCGCACTTGATAAAATTATTTAATGCAATTAATTGTTGCGTCGTCAAGTTGTGTCACTTTCCATAAGTTATTCTATACAATACTTGATCACAGAGTTTCACCCAATTTTCAACACATTTCGACGGGTCCACAGTAAAGCATTTGGAATGTGATGTCAATGTTACAGCAAAAAGGACAATTTAAAGCAAGAAATATTATAACACACCTTAAATTTATGATTCGAAAAAGGATATTTTTCTTACTGTAAGACTGAAAAGCTTCATTCTCAGAAGATATTTGAAATTGATATTAAGATATTTGTGGACACATGGAAACATCTTGTGAAGAAGAAACAAAATGCAGATGTTTCACGGAGAATCATTATCTTGAGAATATAAATATCTTTGTTATAAATGTGGCGGTTTTTAGACGTGATTCGGAGGATAAAAGTAGAAATCATGTGCAATTGAGTCTTCTGATGAAGATGAAGAGGAACGTGCAATAAGACTTGACGTGCAATGGCAAAACTTTAGTGTGGAACCGACGATTTATTATCGCAATATGGTTTATTCAACTTGCAACTTAAGTCAATTAATGCTGGAAAGCGAGCAAATGCAATCAATAACATGACATTAATCTAGAACCATTTTCGTGGAAGTTTGTTTATTTGATGGTGAAAATTCATTAAAATATTTACTTATGCTTCGCTCGAATTATTTTTGATTGAGATTAAAATGTTTTTTATATTCAGAATATCACAATGAATGGGATTTGTTTGAAAATATTTCTCATCTCCTATTTCGCGTGGGCGAAGAAGAGTAAGAGAAAAGATGGAGAATTGTCTACAATAAATGCATTCAGAAATATCAATAAATAATTGCATAAACAACAGTTAGATAGAAGTCTTTTTTCCACGAAACAATTTATAAAAGCTCAAGTTTCACTCAATATTATGTATGTGCATTTGTTTGCCGAGTTTCCTCCTACTCATCTTAAGTTGACTTTAGTTTGATCTTCTGTTCTTTTACAAGGGAAGTTTATAAAAATTGGCTAAACTAGAGATATTCGTGCCTTTTCTCAACAACATTAAAACTTTTATCCCTGAGCACTTGTCTTCTCTCTCTGTGCTGAATTTAATCATTGTGTCTTTGAGCAGATTTACTTTGTGGCTATGTTGAAAATATTCCGAGAGATGTTCTTTTTTCACCCCCGCAGAGATTTCTTCCTCGGTGGAGATGAAAGACTTGCACATGGACTTCAACTCACCTGCTTTATTTTTATATTCCGATGTATTCTTGTCGGTTTTCATGCATTCATAATAGAGACGTGTAAGCAGAGCTCTCACTTCATCTGTGCGTGAGTTTGGAATTTCACTCAGTTCCTCATCAATCGATTCGAGAAGTTCCTTCTCATCAATTTGTGTCGCCGTGCCCATTTTATTGGAATAATCTTCTCACCTTCTCTCTTTCCAATTTTGTAATTCTAATGATGATTCTGCTGATCAAAATCTCATCTATTTGTGGTGACTCTTGTGGAGTCGGTAATTTGATTTGACGCTTTATAAATTATTCCATCTGGACCGTCGAGAATTTCTTCCGTCCTTCGATTGCCACCTTCTGCTTCATCTTGTGTCACTGTGAATGAAAATGCCAGGGTGAAAACTGAGTGAAAAGCTCGGTCAAAAGTTCTGTAGAGTCACAATGTGACTATTTATCATTTGAGTGCAAAATTAATTTTCACAGCAAAATGCATAAATTACAACTTTCATATTTGTCAACAGTCGCAAAATTTCATTTTTAACAATAAAATGCAACATTTTATTCAGCAACCGAAGTACCATTGAAAATAATTTATAGGATTTCGCTGGTAATACGCGAGAAGGCCTGTAAAATCCCTCAAATATTGAAAATAAGCAAAATGCAGGTGTATAAATTTCCATTATTCCAATGGTTTCCGCAATGAGAGTGTGGGTGAAAGCAAATATCTACTTGTTGTTTTTTGCCCTTTAAGCAAATACTGGTAAATTGAAGTGCTCAAGAAAACAATCTCTGGATAAACTCACATTTAGCAAGCCACCCTCCAGAGGAACTTTAAGAGAAAACAAGCAATTGGAAATAGAAACCATTAAGTTTCTATATACTTGTATGTCTTCTGTGCTGGCTGAGAAGCGTATTAGATGCGTGGTCTGGGGGAGGGGGAGATGCTCAAAAATGTGAAGCTCTTGTAAGGTAAATGCGGTGAAAACAGGCATTGACACGAAAATGCGCAATTAATCGCTCTAATAGCAGCCTATTAGTGACGTGATGAGAAAGTTCTTAGATGAATGATCAAATATCAGTTGAGATTTTCCACAAATTACACTCACATTTGAAGCAAATAATTTGATATTTTTCTCGAATGATCAAAATATTCCCATTTCAATCACCGCACAATCCCAGGCCAATGAGAGCTCTCGTATTCTGCCCAAAAACCATCACAATAGCACTGTCAATACGATGACTCCCATAGGCAAACACGATCCCAATTGTAACACAAGAGACTGCACTTGATTTTCTCCATGAGATGCTGCTCAAACATCGAGCCAAATTATCAGACAATGCGAGCGAGAAGCACATTTCTCGTACAACTTATTGGGAATGATGAAGAGTGAATTTGAAGGCGACAAATTCACGCGCTTACAATTTATTCCGAGGGCGGATGTTGATTATCATGTGGCTTAAATTGAAACAATAAGAAAGAAAGAGTGACTGAGGAAGTGTGATTTGTGATTCTGACCCCACAATTGCCTCAATTTCTCAAATATTCACAAAACTCTCTCTCTCTCTCTAGCAACGCTTTTCATTGCGCCGCAGTTGAGTTTCTTTTTTCTGCACGTCGGGAAATGAACATCCTATTCGAATCACTAAAAATACCAAACAGTGTGAAGAAAGGAAGCTTGACGAAAAGAGCAAATGGAATCGCCCCGGAGGAAAAGTGAGAAGGCGAGGATCGTAAAAATAATGAGCATTTTGTCTCGAGATTTCAGGGCATTGAAGGCGCACCTCATCAGAATTTGCACAGAAGGAAAATATTTACTTCTTCATTCCAAAAGGTAAATATTGTCTTATTATTATTAAAATAAATGATGTTAAGAATTTTCTTCACTGAATTTTGTGTGCTCTTCTTATCTCTTTTTCCATCGCGCACACCGTTTAAAGACCATTTTTCGCCAAATTTGCTCATATGCAATTTATTCTGTCAAATTATTTGATGTATTTTTGCCCTCTTTCACCGTCATAAATATGGCAGAAACAGGGAAACACGCTCTTGCAGGAGAAAATGAAAAAATGCTGAGCAAGCTCAGGAGTTTGTGAATTTATAGGGGAAAAGAGGGAAGTTTTGCCACAACGTGTCTAGATATTTATGTTATTTAGAGAGACAGTAAATTAACATTCCGTTAACGTGGTGTTATATTGGAAAACAAAATTATAACGCAATTTCTTTCGACCTCCAGATTTGTCTTTAATATACTCTACATCCCTCTAAATAACTAATAATGTTCTGAAATGGAAATATTTCAAAATCTAAATTGCACTTTTCACACAAATGTAATTGGAAATCTCACTTTGCATACTCAAGAAGGAAACATGAGACGAAACTCATTGAGTCCTTGTGCGGTTCAGTGCGAACTTCTGTGAAGTTTTGAGGTGGCAAAAGTGTTATTGACGGTGTGAAGTGATGACTTGTCCGACTGCTGGATGAAGGTCAAAAGTGAGAAAGAAGTTCACGGGGTGGAAAACACCGAGTCAGACAAATTGAGTGAAGTTCTCATAAATGGAATACCAGATGGAAGAGTTTGCAACACATTGCCCTCCACATTATATTTTTCTCTTCTCTTATTTCATTATATTTAGAAAATATTGAAAGCGAACTGCTATGTTATGTGTGGTGCATGATAAGACGCGACGAGGGGAGGCGAAAGGTATATATACTCCAATATTGAACTCCCTCATATTAGTAATCTTCTCTCCTTTTTTCAATCCAAATATTTATATGTTTGCACTGCCAAACGAGCAATAAGACCTGTAGTTTAGGTATGGCTTGAAGAAATAACCAACTAAACCATCATTTTGGTCCCTCAGTGTGTGCTTAATTTAACACTTATGCGAGGCACTCGTATTTTATTTTATTGCTGTATTTCATGAAGTAATTTCACTCTCCGCAGTGTATTTTCTTTCTGAAAAACACCCTCCTCCTCCTTCTGTTATTCTTTACACCTCTCCCGACTCTGTCTGGCACCGTGTGTGGGTTCGAGACATCACTGAAAATATAATGTTTTAATCCAATAAATGAATATTAAAGTGGCAATAAAAGCTGACGTGGAGCGAAAGGGTGAGTCAGGGAAATAAATGCCAAGTGTTGAACTTCTTTTTCACCCAGAAACAATCTTATGCTCTGCATATTGAAATTTATGTCGTCGCTCTTTGAAATTTTCAACTGTAAATATTGTAAATTTAAATGGGATATTCAATGTTCTAAATTTACATAATATCGCTATAAATTTGCGTGAGAATATTTGCCCCAAAAGCAACCTCTAAGCCTTTTCCAGTGCCAAACCAATAAAGAACAACACTTTAGGGCAACGATTTTCTGCACTGACCTGTATTCTTTAGTCGGTAAGATGAAAGAATGGAGATTCTTTGGTGGCCGCCAGGAGAAAAAATTCAGCCTCTTTCCAGCAATTACGCATAAAAATTATCGGTGAAACAGACGAGAAAATTGCTCAGCGTGGAAAGTTCACTGCGAGTCCATTTATTTTTTTACAACACGAGGAAACTTTATCCTTCCACTGATGAAAGTCAATTAATTTTTTTTTACACAATTTCCAGAACGATTATGATTCACCTTATAATCATCCAATTAGGAACAAACACTTATGGCTGGGAAATAATTGAAGGAAACGTTCGTTAAATCGATATAAGCACAATTTTCTTTCAAGATTTCGCTCTGTCGGCACAATTAGTGTGTGGGAGCGATAAAAATTTTAATGTTTTGACTATTCCATGGAGGATATTCACGTTAATTACGACACAATGTGGTAGTAAAGTGCCATTAGTGTCACTTTGCAGGGAAAATTACATGATCAGAGGGAGAATCAATTGAATTAGTGAATCTCACTTGTGTGGCACTGCAATTTATGGCATCGGCGCCAATTGTGAGATTTCTCATTATAGCCGAGCGCACAAATATTTTTATGAAATATGTGTTTGTCTGCACATAATTCCTCCAGTGTCTTCAGATCAGCACACTGCGAATTAATTCATCTCACTGATTGTTCGCACATTGGGCGATTCAGTTGATTGCCAGAGTGATAAAATATCCACAGAATGTCTTTTGGCTCTCACTCGCTGTGGCGAAACTTCCTGTTTATATCAAAAAGAGCGTGAAGATGAAATATTAAAAAGTTTGCCGTTGTGGAATCACGGGAAAAAATCACATGAGAGAATCAATTTTTTCCCTACCTCGACGGGTGAGAGTGATGAGGCAGAACTTGGGAAAAATAAACAATATAATAAAATCCTGGGGAGAGACGGAGAAATATAAAATCTTCCGATGCTTCTTCAATAAATAATGCGTGTGTATTCCTTTGCCTCTTTCAGGGTCACAGCGCGAGGCGTGAAAGTTACAAAGAGAAATTCGCCACGTTCTTATCCCGTCGCGTGCCAATTGAAGACTGACTCTCAATTGTGTTGCTGTGCGGCAAAAGCGGCAGAAACTTTGATTTTCGGTGAGTATCGCACTACCAAGTCGATGGAGCATGTGGGAGAGATGTTCAATGGAGCAATGCTGAGAGTCCTCTCACTGCTTTCCCTCTCCTGACTCTGATGCTGTATAACTTGTGGAGTTGATCGAATTTTATCACAGCCGCACTTTTTCAAACCCATGCCATTGAAGTGCGCAGAACGAAGAGCCGGAGAGAGAGAGAGAGAGCTTTCTGATGCGCTTATCGTTCTGCTGTGGATTTAAAATTCATCCTCAAAGAACTTCTTGCCTCTGGCACTTTCACCTCAACCAGCACTCAGTTCAAGTTCATACTGGAAGTGGAGGACCAGGAGAGCGAGAGAGAGTGGATTTCAAACACTTGTTGATTCTCTGAACACACCGAAAAGGTTCAGCGCGAAGGCTCGTAATGTATTTTGCAAATTAACCCGGCGCCTCCATTTCATATGCATATAATTTTCGTGGGACCCAAAATTCGGGAGACAGGTAGATTTTGCATCTCTTTAATCCTTTTTAATAATTTTATGCTCGGCAGTGTTTGAAGTGGGTGAGGAGGGTTTGTAGGGAAGTGGCACGAAATTTGCTCGCTCTCTCCGTCGTCACACCCATTTCATCTCCGCTTTTGTGTATTTATTTCTGGACGGCCAGTGTTGTCAAATAATTGAAACAATAAGGTGTGTTTCACCTGAGAGGGCCAATCATGCCATAGGAATTAGTACAAAGGGACCACTGAAGCCTCTGGCAATTTGATATCATAATGACTCTCTACGATTGTGATGCGATGAACAAGGAGTTGAATATCTTACCATGTGTCAATATGATGACCATCCTCTAAAAGGTCTCCATAGTTCCCCAATTTGTATTCATCAGTGACGTTGTAATTCTCGTAATTTCAATGGTTATGACTTGGATTATGGGAAGTTGCGCGAGGGAGCACAAAATAGCAAACAAATCATCCCAATCAGCACAAGTTTCAGCTACTGAACAGTCAAGAATAGACCTGAAATAGCGTCCTTCTGACTCGGTTTTGCCACATGGGATTCTTACACACACTCCACTTAGTATAACCTCTTTATTTTCCTTTGTCTTATCCTGGCTAATATCGTATGTTAAGTAATAACTATTTGTTGCGAAAATGTATGAGTATTAAACATATAATTTTCCTTCACTTTTCGTTGTCTTTTATAGTGAATGAATGGGTAGCATGATATAGAAGTAAACTTGGGTGAACATTGGGGATTGCCGTGATAAGTGTTTAGCACTGAATGCCGCCAATAAAGACGTCCATTTCCACGAGAATGGCCAGAGTGATGAAGATGGCGTAGCTGAAAAATAGCGGCACGCCGAGCCATCTTCTTATCTTGTACTTGGAGAGAGAAATTATAATGTAGAAAATGGTGATGACGGCGAGCATTGAGGCAATTATATATTGGATTCCGCTAGATTTGAGCTGAATGTGTGCATCGGTGTATCCCGCGCCGTCCACCATTGTGCGGATGAACCAAGGCAAGCCCAGTGATAACAGCATGGCCACTGAACTCGATCCGATGGCATTGGCAATCGACATTCCGCCCATCTCTGTGGCAACAGTCGAAGGCGAGAGAGAGAGACTGATTAGAAATCGTGGGGGTGGAGGAGATTAAAGGGCCCTTACCTTTGCGCGTGAGAATGAATCCCGTGATGGCTTCGGGTGTGCACCCGCCGAAGGAGAGGAAAGTCATGCCCATGACGGACTCGGGGATGTAGAAGGTGTAGCCGATGACGGTGAGCATCCAAAAGATCATGTAGGAGTTGATGCCGATCCAGATGATGCACATGATGAACGTGAGCGGGTAGAGGCGGCGCATCCGCTTGGGCGACGGCACGGTGAAGGTGAGGACGAACCTAATGGGCCAGGTGTAGAGCCACCAGATGCGCCGTCCCACCGACGATTTCGGCATGTTCCACAGCACGAAGGGCTTCGTAATTGGCGGCTTAAGCATGAGCGACGGTCGCCTGGGATCCAGCTGAGGTGGTGGAAATTCATCATTGATCTGCGAGTCCTCGGACGGCGACACGGAGCTGCGCCGGATGATGGACAGGATGGATGTGCGGGGATTTGGGTTGGGATTCGATGTGGTGGAGGGTCTCGTTGGCACCGGAGTGTGGGGCGCAGTTGGCGGTTCGACGGAAGAGGGCTTTGGTGGGTCAGGAGTCTCAATAACAGTTGGGGATATCGTGGAAATGTGCACCACTTTCTCGGATTTGCGCGGTTTATCGTCAATCTCCGTGGTGGAATTGGAGTCTCCAAACTCTGAAAGTGCAAGGCTGGTTATTGGACTGATAAATCATGGGCAAGGTTGGCTCATTATCTCACCGTATTTCTTAATGCGACAGCAGACACACTTGTTCTCTACGAGGTACACGATTTTTGCCTGGATTATGCGATTGAACACCATCAGAGTGTAGTAATTGACGACCAGGATGAGCATTATTATTGTGCCCCACCACATGACCTTGTTGTCCCAGGCGAAGGCCGTGAGGAAGGCGGCGTGAATCAGGTACAGGAGTGAGTCTCTGGTCACTGGGAACCACTCGATTTGGTATGTTTGTCGCGCCGCCAGGCACACGATGGCACTCACGCCCAGAATGTTGAACATCATTGACCCAATGACCGTGCCGATGCCCATATCGGAATCCGCGATGAAGATGGAGATGGTGTTGGTGAAGAACTCGGGCATGGCCGTGGCAGTGGCCATAAAAGTCGCAGCCGCGACGTCCTACAAAGGTCACAAGAGATAAAAGCATTGTACTTCGATCAGGAGTAATGTAATCTGCAGCTTAGTAGTACCGGTGATATCTTCAAATCCTCGCAAATACACTCGATGCATGGAATATAATATCCATTGATCACCATCGCGGTGATGGTGAAGAAGTAAATGGCGCAAAAGATGTGCAGAATAATGGCGCCCTGTCTTCGCTGGTCCTGCGTGAAGAGGTCATCGGGAAAATCGTCAATTGATGATCCCGTGTCGGGACAGTCATCTTCCGCATCCTCCAAGGGCGCATTGAATGGAAACCAATATTGTCGTTTTGTCTTGTTCAAATGAACTGCGTGCGGAGCATCTTGTATTGGCATCTCACCAATACTCGACTCCAATTCTGTGATATAAAAAGATTTATTACTTTTATGGCCGAAAGGACTTCCTGGGTGGCAAACACAATAAGACGCAATAATATCGTCACATTTTTATTGATAAGGCGCCCTGGAAAAACAATCAGGGAAGAAATCGACAAGTCCAATCTTGTAATAATCGGAATTTTTTGGTTTTTTTTTACTTTGACTTGCTCCGCAAGTGAACTTTAATTAAATCCATATCGCCAGGCGCTTTATCAACGCGTATTTTAATCCATTCTCAATTTAGCCAGTGAGCGAATTATTATCCGTTGCAGACGAATCGTAATTACCGACGTCATTGTATTAAAGTGGGAGACGTGGAATGGGGTTTTTTTTGCTGAAAAACACCTCTATAATTGATTATTTCCTCACCTGTGTGCACTATATATCCATTGACACATAGCAGGAAGCCCAGAAGAATAATGCTGAGACAGGAGAATATCAGTATTTTACTCATTTTCAAGTCCTCTTTTGCTCCTCTCGGGCGTCTCGGCTTTAATGGAGTATCTTTGGCAAGTACTTATCACAAATTATTGCTCTCTCTCGCTTAATCGATTGCTATTTGTTAATTTATTCACATCTTCTTGGGAAAACTTCACTGTGGGTAATTCGCGGCAGACTTTTCCTTCACTTGAACTGTCTCGCTTGAGGAATCACTTCGAACTGACTTTGGCTCTCTAACTCCCTCGACAGATATTGGATTTTGAGGTGGACTTCCAGTTCTTATTTATCATAATCAGTTATCGTGGGAGCAAAAAATGGAATTACATTTTAGAGGTGTCTTATCAGTCAGTGATTTACACTTTGGCACAAATATTCAGTTGATAGTGTGACTTCATTATGTACGAAACCATAATAGTTTCCATTCTCAAATCTCCTCGCTGTTTCACACGAAATAATACCGCTGAAGCTCTGCAGATCCTCGAAGACTTTGCGAACTTAATAATTCGATGATAACGCAAGTATGAGGCTTGTTGTCTGAGGCTGATAATGGGACATATTGCATGAAGAGCATGCATGGACGCTGCATGCGAGTCTTCCCTAAAGAACACCTACAAAGTAACAAGAGACATGGTCTGACGAGGTCTATTGTTCCTTATCACAAATAACTCAAATCACGGTTTTCGATTTAAGTCTTAACATCTTTATGTGCTCTATATCGAGGTATGTACATAACATATGTAGCTGGGAAAAAATTGTTTTCATTATTATAGCGCGTGATAGACTTGTCTGATGAGAAATCAGCATAAGGCAAAAATACTATGCTTAAGATATCTCACATTGCCTTATCACTCTCTTTACATCACACTTTGCAATCACGATAGCATCACAGATTTTTTGCTGCCAATTCTACTTTATTATTCCTCATGGAATCTACGCCTATCTCTAATTCTCGTCACTACCGTGATTTTCTACAACTCAGGAGGAATTAACGTTAGATTAGTGCGCTTGTCGATTGAATCTCCGTTGAGTCACGCCCGTAAATCAGTCACAATAGATGCCAGATGCGAAGAAGATGTCAATTTCATTGAGGATGGCAAAAGTGACGAAGATGGCATAAACTCCCACGAGGATGATTCCCGACGTCTTCCTCAGTTTGAAGCGGAAGAGTGCCAGCACAGTGAAGAGGAGTGTGGTGGCGAGGAGCATCGTCATCGTTGTAAATTCCACGCCATAGGAGACCACATTAAAAGGCTCGCCGTCCACGAGGGTGCGCACGAACCACGGGAAGCCGAGGGAGATGAGGATGGCCAGGGAGGTTGAGCCAAGTGCATTTGATACACCCATTCCGCCAATTCCTGAAACAGACACATAAAATGTTACTCTCGTGTGGGAAAATGGAAATTTACTGGTACTCTCAGAACATTAACAATCGCGGAAATAGCGAGCATAAAATTGTCACCCTTGCCATCACTCAGAGTGGAATTTCTTGGTCGATTTAATGTTAGAATTGAAGAATGGCTGTTAAATATTCCACGGGACGATTAATTTCTGTTGGAAAATCCCGATGTAGTGATTCAAAAAAGCATAAACTTTCGTGGGAATTTTTCAAGTACTGCAAACAAGGAAAGAATGTAGAATGAAAGGTTCAAAGTTAGACTAACATTTTTCAGAAAGGATAAAAATTGGATAATTCTCTCACAAAATGGGAAGTGTAAATTCCCCGAGTAATTTTGAAGAGAGATTTGAAATATTGAGATCAGAACACAGTACCGATCATTTCAATCACTAAGGAAGGAGAGAAACTAAACCTTACAACCCGGAAATGAAAATGGCGTTCTGGATAATTTAAAGAGAGAGAAAGAAAAAATAGAATAATCTGCTGAAATGTGTGTTTCAAAATCAATTAAATCTGAACTGAAGGAAATGGGAGAAATATCAAGAAAAGAGACAAGAAACGCAGGCTGTTCCCTGCAAATATTTCAGGACTACGTGTAATATCTCAAAGGTCATATTGATACCATAAAAGCTTCACAGGGCTTTGAACTTTCCAAGTCAATGTCTTATCAAAAGCTCCATCTGAGTCACAGATAATCGAGTGTAGTAAACAAAGCTTAGGATGACTCACCTTTGCGAATAACCAAGACACACGCCACAGCTTCTGGCATGCAACTTCCCCAGGCGAGCAGAGTCATGCCCATGACTGATTCCGGGATGTAGAAGGTGTAGCCGATGATCGCGATCATCCAGAAGACCATGAATGCAATGCCGCCGATCAGGGCGATGCACATAATGAAGGTCAGAGGATACCAGCGGCGATGGTACTTCGGACTGGGCACGGTGTAGCGCAGAAAGAACTGGATGGGCCAGGAGTAGAAGAACCAGATGCGCATGATGATTTTGTCATTCGGAATCTTGAACAGAGATTTTGGGCTCTTCTTCGGTGGTTCGATTTTGGGCGTTGATAGTCTGGGATTTGCCTCGTCGGCGGCTCTTTCCTTCACCGAAATGACAGAAGGAGTGATGGAATTGGAGCTCGGACGAGGAGGTTGACGCTGTTGGGTGTCTGCAGCGGAAGTTCTCTTGGGCTCAGGCTCTGTCATATCTGTTGAAAAGATGGGAATTGTAGTTGCTGTCTTTATAAGTTGTGATTGCAGGTGAACTTACTGTATCGCGGACCAGTGAAGCAGTTCCATCTGTCTTCCACGACACTCTTGATCAGACGCTCAATGCGCGGATTTTGGAAGAGGACGATGAAGTAGAGAATGGAGCAAATGACCATCACCATTGCCTCATACCAGGCGATTTCGCCGTCCCAGATGAATCCCGTGAGCAGGGCAGAATTGATAAAGAGGATGAAGCAGTCGCGCCCGAGAGGAAACCAATTGATTTGCACTGGACTAATTGTCGCCAAACCACAAACAGCGGCAACTCCAAGTGTGTTGTACAGCAGAGAGCCAATGATGGCGCCAAGACCCATCGGTGAATCAGTGATGAAAGTACTGATGAGGTTGGTGAAGAGCTCAGGGATTGTGCCGGAAACTGCCATGAATGTAGCAGCGGCCACATCCTGTAGGAAACGACAAGAGTTAATTCAATCTCGGTGGTCGAATGACTATTAAGTGCATTACCCGTGATATTTTCAAGTCTTCGCATATACACTCCACCGCCGGGATGAAGTAATTATTGCACACAATGCCCAGCATTGTGAAGAAATATATGGCACCGAGAAAGTGAAGGATAATTGCTCCCTGAAGCCTCTGCTCCTCTGTGCATTAATGAGAATGGAGTGGAAAAAATTACCTTTATGAATTACATTATTGGATGCGTTTCAATGTGAAACTCACGAGTAAACAAATCATCGGGCAAATCGTCGATGGATGAGCGATTTTCGCAAATTGGATGAATGTCGTCAGTGGCAAATGTTGCATCCTCTTTGTACCACGGATACCAGCTGAATTTCGTCGCCACGAGGTGAAATCGCTCCAAGGGTGTGAGATAAATCTCACGAATGTCATTCAGAATGGGAAAAGAGGGCAAAATGTCATTTGCCTGGGAAATCTGCTCCACTATTTCTGAAAATACACACCAAAACTATCTTTCTGACAACCATCCCAAGGATTTTCTGAGGACGCTCAAACTACCTTTGTGCGGGAAGGCTTCGGTGCAGGACAAACCGCTGATCAGGAACACCACAAACCCTGCACAGAGGGCATTCTTCAGTGTCACCAAACCCATCACAACTAGTCCGAATCTTGTTATTGAATTCCTTTGAGCTTCTCTGAGGAATCTTCCAACACCGCATTAACAAACTTTACAGGTTATCCTCACGGATCACAACGAGATGAATCTCTAGCGCTTGCAGGATTCCACAATTCTGGGGTATTGAACACCAACAACTGGCAGCACTTGCACTCGATTGTTTTCTTCATCGGCGATCGCACATCAACTAAACTTTTCCACCTTCGCGCGCTTTTATATTCCAAGTCTCAAATCATAAAATCAAAATTCGGAAACAAGGCGGGGCTTGGTAGTGATTTAGTCTTTCTTCCAAAATCTGGCGAATTAAAAGGATTAAATGTGGGCATTAGGAGCGGACGCCTGTTATCAGAAAATACCATTTGAGGATTTTCCATCTTGGGAGGCGACACACAGACAGAGAATATCACAAATTCACGTGGCGTGTTTTGTCGCGATGTGTCTTTTTATTGCGGAAAATTCTGGTCAAGCTGGAAATCGATTAATCAAACTTCTTCCATGGTCGTTTGCCCTCAGATGAGGCAGCGAATTGATGCTAAAACGTGTGAATGTTTCTCTGTTGTTAGTCAAGCATGTATTTAAGCTTGATAAGGATATCGTGTGAAATGATAATGAAAGTGATGGAATTCTTGCGCCCACTAAATGATGTCGATCAAATCCTCAAAGACATTTATGTGACGTTGATTGTGAGTCACACCTTTGCTGTGCGTCCAGGAATCCATGCTAATGGTGATGGATGATTGTACCTCTTCGCACTCAAGACAGTCATTTTCTCACGGGTTTAGTCACACCAGAAAGCAGTGGTTTCTGCCAGAAAATCATATGAAATACCACTGTATCTCGTGTATTATTTTGATTAGGGACTATATTTTGAGTCTTTCTAAGCCCAATTAATCCTCCTGCAAATATCATTTCTTCGTCTATGAGTCACCCTTGGAAAAGGAATCAAAGTTCTGCTAAAGAAAAACATCAATCACAAGCCTGCAGTGATTGTAGGAATCTCATATTAAGTGTCTCTATAGCTTAACTGAAGTGGATTCCTCTTACAATCACTGCAATCATTGCAATGCCATCAAACATACGTCATTCTAAGAGATTTTTACAATATCAATACAATTATTGTGGACTCCATTTTTATACACTCAATTTATTGTGTAATCGAGCGCAGAGAATTGAAAGTAGAAATATTCTATCTAATAAAATTCGAACTATTTATCCATTCCTTATCAAAATTCATTGCTTGTCATTATTCCATGCATAAAAGCCCAAAGAGGGTTAAAGAACTCATCGTTATCTTCATCTTTCAGGTATTTTCGGTTATCCTCTTATACTTAGTTGAAGTGGGTCAAAGATAGGGCAATTCTTCGATTATATTTTGTCTGAAATTCTCTTCTATCTCTCTGACTTGGGTTAGTCACCCTTGAATATTTCGTAATGCATTTTTTTTTTCATTCACCAAAATCACACCCGCGAAAGTGTTTGAGTGCTGAGAGTTGAGGCGGCTGTGAATGTATCGCAATATAATGCGAGGGAAAGCATTTATCATTTGGTGTAGCAGCGGATTTGATTAATGAAAAGTCAAGACATTGTCTACTGTTCTTACGTGACCTTCTCACGGCTAAAGCCGGAGAATGTGTTGGTGAGTCAGCTAAATGGAAATCACGTGCAAAACCACCCAGATTATTTTCTAATTGAACAAGGGGGGAAATTCAATACTAATGCCTCTCTCTCGAGTGATAACATTGTGGGGTGTTGTGAGCAAAAAAGCGCCATAGGAAGCAGGGATAAAATGGTCCGGAAATTGCCATGAGAAAAAAAGCCAGAGGGTGGATTTGCAAGTGTGTGATTGGTAAAAAGTTGTGGTGGAGAGCATAAATAAAAGCAGGAAAGAAAATAATGTTGACATGTGAGTGTTGATAAGATAAATCGTTAGTCAACAATATCAAATCACTTGCTAATCACTTTGGCGCGTGCTTCTCATTCAGAAGTTGAGTATCACTGGGCTTGTATCAATCACTCGTAATCAGATATGGCGCTGGCTGCAAGGAGTTCAATTACCACGAAATGCACTGATTTGGGGTGTCACAGTTGTGCGTTTATTCAAAACTACATACACGATGAGTGCTTATCACATTGCGTGGAGATTGGGAGGCGATGAATGGTCGTCAGCAAACGTTGCCGGACGGGAAGAATACGTCCATTTCGATGAGGATGGCCAATGTGAGGAAGATGAGATAGATTGTGAGCAAGATCGCGCCAACTGAGCGCTTCAGTTCATAGCGACCGAGACTGATAACGAGAAAGAGCACCCCAACGGCGAGCAGGAGCGATAAGATTGTCACCTCGATTCCGTACGAGTAGATGTTGATGTACGCGTCTTGGTCGTGCTGACGCGTAATTGTATTGCGAATGAACCACGGCAGGCCCAGCGACAGCAGGATGGCCAGAGAGTTGGCGCCCAGGGCGTTGGATACCCCCATTCCACCCTCTCCGCTGCGAATCGTGATGATGCAGGAAATTGCCTCCGGCAAACATCCGCCAGCGGCGACAAATGTGAGTCCCATCACAGATTCGGGGATGCTGAACGTGTGTCCGATGATGGAAATCATGAAGTAGATCATGTACGAATTGCCTCCAATTAGGATGATGCAGAGGATAAATGTGAGCGGATAGAGCTTGCGATTCGTGCGGGGATTTGGCACAAGGAATGTCAGCACGAGGTGGATTGGCCACGTGTACAACCACCAGATGGTCTGCAGAGCACTTCCGCGACGAATTGTCCACAAGCTCGAGCCGCACTCTTGTATCTCTTTGGGAGATTTGGTGGAGAGATTTGGGATTTTATCGCTTTTTGCTCCATCATCGTCGACCGTTTCTCTTCCCTTACAGTCGTTCGATGGTTTGGGTTGCTCCAAATCTGGTGCGGAAAAAGCGAATGAGATTGAATAAGCTTTTAAACCGACCTTTGTTATGGACGTAGTCGGAAATTGTAGGAGAATTTCGGTTTCTGGTCATTTTTATGATATAAAATTATCACAAAAGCCAATAAAAGCGTGCCAAAGCGCAATATGAATGAAAATTACAATCGAAAAGCTGTACTATTTATCAAATTCTTATCACTGTGATTCATTTCTTTAGTGTTTTTAGGGAAATTTAAGTGCTGAACATCAATTTTCTTTCAAATTCTGTCACATTGTATGTTCTTCTCCTACGCCTATGTGGCAAATGAACTCACCGTGAGAAGCTCTGTTGGTGCAGCAATTCAGCTTCTCTTCACAGACAAATTTCACGGCTTCGGATATTCGTTTGTCTTGGAAGAGGATGACAAAGTAGAGGAAGTACAAGATGAAGAGAATCAGCGATTCGCTCCAGTAGATTCGGCCGTCCCACGCGAAGACCGTGAGCAGGCTTATGTTAATCACGTACAGGGAGCAGTCTCTGACGAGCGGCCACCAGTCCAGCTGCACTGGCCTCGTGGTGGCGATGCCCGCGAGCGCTGCGACGCCCAGAGTGTTGAACAGCAGCGATCCGATGATCGTGCCGAGGCCCATGTCCGAGCCCGTGAGGAAAGTGGACAGGCAGTTGGTGAAGAACTCGGGCATCGTCGTCGCTGTCGCCATGAACGTTGCGGCGGCGACGTCTTTGGATATCTTCAGTTGCACGCAGATGCACTCGACGGACGGCAGGAAGAAGTCATCCACGACAACAGCCAGGAATGTGAAGAAGTACACGGTGGCCAGGAAGTGAAGCAAGATGCCGCCCTGCAGTCTCTGGCTTTCTGCGCGGGAAGTCAGATTGGGAGATATAGTCAATTGATGTGGTCAGATTTAATGTCAATGACAAGGGTAATCTGGTGTTGCAACTTCGGTAAACCGCCTCGCGCTATCTTATCTATTGTTCTGACCATAGAGACAATCGCGCACTACGGCGGCTGATTGAACAGCCAACAATGGACAATTAAGCATGCAATATAGTCATTATTTACTCAATGATGGAAACAACGTGCGAATCTTTTCCTCATGAGGTTAAATATTTGCTGCACTTACGCGTAAATATATCTTCGGGGAACTCATCAATCGACGACGGGGATTCACAGCTCTTCTCCTCTTGGCTGCCATTCTCCGCCTGGCGCCACTCGATTCTCCTCCACGGATGCCAATGCCAGGTCTCCCGCTCGATAGCCAGGCGCTCCTGTAGCGTGAGATGCGGCTCGTAGAAGTACCTGAGAATTGGGTGACTTTGGCGCACTGTTTCGTCATGGCGCGGAGATATTGTTGTGTCTGAAATCGATGTGGGTCAAACATCATCACACTTAATCCTCTCTCAATTTCCTTATGGCACCCACTCGAGACACCATTTGCACAGTCACACACACCCAAAAGACAAGAAGGTGGGCAAAGTATACATCATCGTAGACTTTGGCGCTCTGTGTGCCTGAGAATTAAAGGCTTTGGTGGAAAAACAAACCTACCTGTTGCTCTCTGGGTGGCAGCATTGGCAAAACACACCCCAATAATTGATGAGATGATATAAATGGAGATTACTTTAAGTCCCATAATTTGCCTTATGAATAATTTCCCAAAGCTCCAATTAACACAGAAATAGCAAAGTCTCGCCACTTTAATTGATCTTGCCCGCAAGGCGCACGAAATGCGACTAAGTGCTCATGATAGCAATAGCATCGAGTATTATTACCTATCTACTATCACTCAATGGGTGGAATTTCTTCTGAAGTGCATCCAAGTTCGTCTGGAAGGCGCGATTTAGCCATTGCATTTTGCGACGAAATATTGAAAGCCTGACTTTGGAGGAATTTTGCAATTAAAATTCACAAGAACACTATATAATAGTGATCTCATAATGTCAAGTAGCGATTAGACGGCTAATCTATTTGGGTCTGTAAACTTATAAGAAGAGCTGATGTCTGAGTTTTATGGTTCTATTTGTAATTTTATTGGGAGATCATCATATCGCCAAAAGCTTCCGCTATTGGATGTTTCCGGTAAACAAACAACTCAAATCAGGCCTTTGTTAACGTGAAGAGTCTTCTATCTGGTCCACATGTGAGAAAATGCGTCTTAGTATGACAAATCAGAAGAAATGTCCTTCATATTGTCCAATTCTGTCTACACACAGACCAAGGATTGATAAATTTTTGTTTAAGGATGTAATTGAATTTGAACGTATGGTTTGAAATATAATTAAATAAATGGAATGTGATTTTATTTATGATTTTGATATACTTTCTGCGTTCTGTGTAGGACAGTCAATAGATTTTCTTAAGACTTTCTTTCGTCAGCATTTGTGTTTTCAAAAAATATAAGAATTTTGTATAGAATTTTTTCAAATAACCACATTTAACAAGAACTTATGTCGTTAAAAAGTGTTTCAAAGGAATTTGTACTACATTTTTGGAAACGTGTCTTTGTTTTATCCACTGACAAATAAAGACTTTCTATGGAATTCTTCAGATATGTCCGAAGTAAAAACGATAGAAGCAAAATCGATCAATTTTTCCCAAATTCCACACTAAAATTGATAAAAAATGAATGATTTTTACACTTAACAAACTTTATTTTTAACACAGCGCGCGAGATGCAATAATAGAATGGCACATATATAAATTTCATGAAAACATTACGGGGTCTGCAATGGCACTCGAGAGAACAGTTGCAATCTCAATGGCGTTCTTAGGGCTTGAGTGGCTTCGGGATGAAAATTGGAGCTGCCATTTGAGTGTGAGTGTTGAGAAAAAGTGTGTTACGAAGGTTGGAGAAGAGACCCTTTAGCAGCCATGTTAGTCTTGCTCTGATTTATTGCCACTTAAATATAAAAGAGTAGTGGAGATATTGGAGGAGAGGGAATGATAGACGAGAAAGCCATAAATTGAATACTTTGAAGCACCGGGAAAAGTGTGCGTGGGGACTTTTCAGTGATCACATGTGGGCAGGTTGACGGGAAAGAAGAAGTTGAGCTCAATCAGGCTGCTGACGACGAGGAAGAGCACGTAGAAGAATGTGCACGTGGCACCGACCTTCCAGTCCAGCTTGAAGCGGTTGAACAGGAGCGAGATGTAGAGGCCCACCAGGGCGGAGAGGAGCAGGCTGGCCGTGTAGGTCATGCCGGAGGACTTGAGGGACACCCAGTGGTCGCCCGGAGTGGTGGGGAAGACGAGGGACTTGATGAGCCAGGGCAGGCCGAGGCAGAGCATGATGTCGAAGGTGTTGGAGCCGATGGAGTTGCTGATGCCCATCGTGCCGTGTCCCTTGTTGGCGACTATCACGCTGGACACAGCCTCGGGCACACTGGTGCCCGCCGCCAGGAATGTCAGGCCCATCACGGAGTCCGGCACGTCCAGCGTGTCGCCGATGGCGGTAATGAGGAAGGCCACTACGTAGGATGTGGCGCCGATCCACATCACGCACGTGATGAACGTGAGGAAGCGCAGCCTGGGAAAGCGTCTGCAGTCCGGGATGGTGAACCACAGCACGAGGGCGATGGGCCAGCGGCAGAGGAACGGGAAGAGGGCGTCGCCCTTCCGGTTCCACGGCCCGCCGGCGACGCACTCGTCAGGCTCACTGGTGGCGCTGGTCTCTGCGACGCTGACGCTGATGGCAGGCTCGGTGTGGTCTTTGATGTGGCCATTCTGCAGTCGCTGGACACCCTCCATCAGCGGGCTGCTCTCGTCAACGGTCTTGGGCGCCTTGTCGCAGCACCGCGGCGAGGAGAACTGCTCTCCGCACGAATGCACCACGGTTTGAGCCTTGCGTGCAATCATATCATTGCAGCAAATTGCTGTATCAAAGTTAAATGAAATGTCACTCATGAGCTCGCACATTGAATGTATTGAACAGGGTGAGTGGCGAGAACAGTGCTGATAAATTGATTTTCTGCGGTTTAGACGTGTAATCATTGTTATACATTTCACTTCAATAATGTGAAATTACAGAAGGAAACAATTTATATTTAAATTTTTAATGAAATCTGGTTGGAATCCAGAAGAAAATTAGCTTTTCTAGCCTGCTGAGACAGTTTTGCATTTAAATTCTACGAAGATAAATCAGTGGCGTAACGTTTTCTTCGCGGTTTTTGTCTGCAGAGGAATGATTTAGCAAAAGTCATTTCGCAGAAATCTCCCGAAGTTGTCCTAAAAGTGGGCCTATAAAAATTTCTTTCAACACTTTAACATAAAAATGAGAAATTATCTTTCTATCTGCGCCACTGAGAAACCGTCTTCCAGAGTCATTAAATTAATGGTTATTCAAATCTCAGCTCTTATTTAACAAAAAAAAAGCGGGATCCCGTGTTTCTTGATAGCAGAAACTATTAAGTAAGCAATTTTAACGGGCGAAATTGAATAATTTACCTATAAAATTACACTCTTCGGGAAGTAATTAATCAGCACAGCTCTGCTCCATTCCACCATGCTGTTCGGACGAACACACAGAACTCACCAACAATGTAAATGACGTACGCAGAGACCAAACACAGCGCCTCGTACCACATCACTTTGCCATCGTAGAGGGTGGCGATGAGGGCGATAACGGCGAATCCGTACATGAGGCAGTCCCTGCTCACTGGCCACCAGTCCAGGAAGACAATCTGGCCGGCAATGAGGCCGCAGCACGCGGGCACGGCGAGGATGTTGAACACGGCGGAGCCCACAATGGTGCCCACCCCGAGATCGCCCTCTGTGATGAACGTGCCGACGCAATTGATGAACAATTCGGAGCTGGAGCAGGCGGCCGCCATGAATGTGGCGCCGGCGATGTCCTTCTTCATTTTCAGACCTGCGACGAGGGGAGAGTTCAAAGGATGAATTGCGTGTTGGCGGAAATTGGGCGATGGCAATCGCACTCACTGTCGCACATTGACTCAATGGCCGGCACGAAGTACTCGTCGCACACAATGGCCAGGAGCCAGAACAAGTAGCACACGAGGAGAACGTGAATGGCGATCCAGCCGCTCTTGCGTTGCTCCCGCGTGAAGCCGTCCGATGGGAATTCGAGTATTGCGGCCGGCGTGCAATTCAATTCCACCTCTTCCACCCCATTGGCATCAGGACTCATCAATCGCACTGAGCGGACCTCAGGGAAGTCTTCCATGAAGCTCATCAGCCGACGACTGGGCACACTGTGAGCTGCGAATAGAGCGTCAGCATTTCACGCACAGCACTGTCGCCCACCGGCTTTCTCGCATGAATGCTAAGCAGATAAACTCACCAGATACGAGGCAACTCTTTGATTGTCCATTTGCATCGGAGCCGGTGTTTGGGATCACAAGATAAAATGCTGTCACGCCCAGAAAGATGAGAATTCTCAGGAGAAAGGTCACTCTCGTCTGAATTCTCCTCGATATTCTTGTCCTCATACTTGGTCAACCTCTCACTCTTTGGCGGCGGGATTGTCTGGGGTAGAGTGAATACATGAGAAGCGGTAGAGAGAGAGATAGGAAAAATGATAGATAAGAGGAGAATGTCTGAGGGAATATTTGGACAAATTATTTGGCAAGTTACCTCGTGAAGAACGATGCTCACAGTCTTATTATTGTTGGATTAATTGTCATAAAAGCATCTCCTTCTTAGAGTATATCTTAAGGACAACTCTAAACCGTTTGCGCGACACTTTGAACACTTTTATTGCCCGTCTAGGGTAAATCTGCGGTCACTCTTGCACGGGTCTTGCTCACAGTTTGGCGTGTCAATTGTGTGTGGAGAGAAAATGAGGGAGATGCCTCTGGTCTTTCTTATTCACGAAAATTTAGGTGTCTCTTATCTTATTTGCACTCGTACACACTTTGAACGGGAAGTCTAATCACTATATCAATAGATAATGGAGTATTTAAACTATAATGTTGATGTGTCTCGTCTCAGCTGCACCAAATGACTCAATTCACTATCTCAAAGTCCTTGTTCACGGGCAGTCCAATAAAGTGCATTTCGGTAAATCTCATCCAAAGTGCCACCCGAAAAAAAGTCAACCATGATAAGAGATTAACAGTGTCATCAAATTTATTTGAATCATTCAATTTTGTGGTGTTGAAAAGGCAAGAAAAGAGTGGGAGAAGTGGTATTTTAGCAAAACTCGATGAGACTAGAGAGAGAAAGAGTGCAATTAAAGGGGATTTTTGGTCACTCTAGAGCAAAAAGAGAGGAGAAAAGGCACAAGTTGGCAAGAGAAATTTTCCATCGAGAGGCACAAAATCTTACAATTTACTATCATACTCCCTAAATATTTGTAATGCACATTGTAATTGGGAATTAGGAACTAATCACTAAGGCGTTATGACGTAAAATTATACAAATAACATCATCAGCAGGAATATTTACATTGCTATTTAACAATAGTCCACTAAATATACAATTCTTCAATATAATGTGTTTTTTTTTTATTTAAATAATGCTCTGATTGTATATAATACAGATCTCAAGAAATATATCGTAACACAGAGAGAGAAGAACAAGGGACATTCAGGGGAAAAATGCTTGGGAGGTTAAAGTTTCTGAGAGAACAAGACGAGAAATGTTGGCTAAAAATGTCTTTTTAGCATTTTACATTAAATTAAATTATGCGACGAATGTCTTATTACAGTGAAAGCTTTCCTCATTTTTGGTATGCTACGCAAATGTCTGCACGAAAACAGTCCCTAATTTCTTCATCCACTTTCACAACACTCTGCGCGTCTCTGCCGCCAAATGTGGGTGGGATGCAACATTGAGTCTCACATTAAGGCTTTACGTATTAAATATTGGGTAATTTGAGCTCCGCATAATGCAACCTTGGATGCGATTCAGAGGTAAATGGATTATAGAAGCTCACTAGTTGATAAGGAATGTGCAATTCTACTGGCAACGAGAGGGTTAAATATACACTGAGAGGAATTCTCTTGACTCTGTCTCGGCTTTGGAGACTTTTCTTTTCTTTCACTTGCAATCAATCATACAAGTATGAATTCTCTATATAAAAATACAATCTATTAGAAGGAATGTGAGACAAGTCAAATTAAATACCACCACTTGTTGCAAATTTAAACTAAACTAAACCCCGGAATTTCCTTTAGAGCAGCACTGACAAGAGACGCGTCGTAAAAAGGATTTGTTTCACTTGTTTGTGACATGAAAATGTCATCAAATCCGCACTACTGCCGATCAAATATCCGTATCAAGTTGAAATCTGAGATATTCGAGATCTTTGATGGTGAAAATAGTTTGTGCGGAATGTAAAGCTAAACCTGCGAAGGATTATGACTTTGAATTGATAACATCTTTAGGTCTGTAGACACAACAAGTTCCACTCCGTTCTACGACACGTCTCGCGACTGTGAGTCAACACTTGCTATTCATCAACACCCTTTTCAACACTTTACAAATAAACACGTATAATATGTCTAGAAAATAATATTAACATAAAATTACATATATTAAACATAGAATTATCATTTAAAATACTTTTATACTAGTCTTTTTGTGTCTGTGGTGTAGTTTTTATGTCTTTTGGTGCGGCTGTTAGATTTGGTTTTCAAGAATATTCAAGAAATTAGTCAATTTGTTCGATAGAGATGATAGAAATATCGTTGTCACTCTGCTAAAAGAGGACGAAGAAGGGAATTTCATTACATAAATTACACAAATTTCTACGTGGCTCCTTGTAGTGTTGTGTGTTTGTGTGTGTGTGTGTGTGCTTTTCTCTCAGTGACGCGGGTGGGTTGCTCACCGGCCACAGGTGGGCAGATTGACACGGAAAAACACATTTAATTCAATTAAACTAGCTAGAATTAAGAAGACCGCATACATGATGAGACACACGTGTCCAACTCTGCGATCGAGGCGGAATTTGTTGCAGGAGAACGTAATGTAGAGCATGAGGAGCGTGGAGAGGAGCGAGATGGCCGAGTACTCGAGTCCGGCGGAGTTGATGCCCACCCAGTGGTGGCCGGGCTCGATGGGCAGAAAGGCGGCCTTAATGAGCCATGGCAGGCCCAGGCACAGCAGAATGTCGAAGGTGTTGGACCCAATTGAATTGCTTATGCCCATTGATCCGTGCCCTGCAAAGGAGAAAAGAGAGAGAGCGCCACGTGAATGCCTGGCCTCAGCCTCATCTCACTGCCACTCTCACCCTGCTTCGCCACAATGACACTTGACACGGCCTCGGGGACGCTCGTTCCGGCTGCCAAAAATGTGATACCCATCACGGAGTCGGGAATCTTCAGTGTGTCACCTGAAAATAAATTGGCATATCGATTGTGTGAAAAATCGGTGAGGAAGATCAGGTGAAAAGTTGTCACTGGCTGATGGATTGGGGCTCTCGTGGCGCAAGATTGATTCAAAATATTGACACAGACGAGTGCTTTATCAATATTGAAATGCGCCGAGGAAGAATTCAATCTCACCGATTATCGTTATCATCCAGGCCACCAAGTAGGACAGCGACCCAATCCAGATGATGCACATGACGAAGGTCATGGGGAACCACTTCTTGAGGCGCGGCTTCTCGCAGTCCGGAATGGTGAAGAAGAAGACCAGGTGGATGGGCCAGGTGACGATCCACACGATCTGCCGGAAGCAGCTGCCCTCGCAGGGATAGCGCAGCAGGGAGAAGTCCACGTTGTTCTCCTCCGGCTCTGCCACCTCCTTCGCCTCCACCTTCACCTCGGCGTCCTGCTTCATGTCCACGGCCGAGTTGTCCGGTGACTCGACCACGGCCTCCGCCACCCTGACCGGCGTGGTCTTGGACTGCGCGTCAATGGCCGTGGTGAGCTCATTGTTGCTGGCGTCAATGTGGGTGATGTTCTTGATATTGCCATTCTGCTGGAAGTGCTCAATGCGGAGCGGCAAGTGAGCCTCCAGAGTCTCTGTGGCGGGTCAGAAAGCACACGATTAAATTCCTCACTTGGCAAAGGAGATTTTCGGGGACAATTTACCCATCTCCCGACTGCTCTTCGACCGAATACTCGCTGTGCCATCGTGAGATCTACGTTGTCGTGCGTGCTTCAAACTGCCTACGAAAAGACCGTGCCGAACGACGAATACAGTGAGTTATTTTCACTAATTGCTCCCGTCCACCAGAACAACGTGATAATGAATACTTAATCATGTGAACTCTATCGGCAAATTGACCGTCTTTTCCGCTCAATTTACCGATCCCAGTCACCATTAGTGTTCAATTATGCATGTGCACACGCACTAAATGCACGAGTTAACTCTCAACCACTCCTTGGATTGTATTCTCTCTATGCGAATGTTTGGTTTGCGGCTAATTCAAAGGACATTTCCTATATAGCCACAAACCCAATCATTGTATAGCAATGAAAATGTGAATTTAGGAAATAAATTGTAATTTATAGTGACAGTGATCAAAATTAGAACTTCATCACTCAATTATTACAATTTGTTTAGAGTGAGAATTGAAGGGTGAAAATCACTATATCTCTAGTAAATTAATTCCTCCTTCTGACGATGGAAGTGAGGCGGAAAACAATCCAAGGAACGGCTCAGGGTTGAGACGGATGTGAGCTCTTTACCTCTTGCGCATTTCTGGAAGGACTTATCGAAATACATGACGGCTATGTAGACAATGTAGAGCAGCACGAGCGTCAGCGCCTCGTACCATTCCACGCGTTCGTCGTGAATTATGCAAATGAGGATGGCAACTGTGATGCCATAAGCGAGGCAATCCCTCGTTAGAGGCCACCAATCGAGCGGCACCACCTAAAGTGATAGAGGAAGCAGTGTGAGTCGCCTGGATGAAGTCTCTGCCATCGGCCAGAGTCTCACCATTCCAGCTCCGATGCCGCAGCACGCCGCCACGGCGAGAATGTTGAATACAGCTGATCCCACTATGGTGCCTATCCCAATATCGCCCTCCGTAATGAATGTCCCAATCACGTTGACAAAGAGTTCGGGAGCTGATGTCGCTGCCGCCATGAATGTCGCTCCCGCCACGTCGTTTGACATATTAAGTGCTGTGCAGGAGATGCGCAAATGGACAAGAGTTAGGCATGGATTGGCGAGAGTGCATGGAATTGCAACGCACCTTGACATATTTTCTCAACGGCAGGTACAAAGTATTTATCACAGACAACAGCCAGAGCTGCGAATAAATACAAACTGCCGACTATGTGAAGCACCACAGCACCAGCTTGTCGCTGCTCCTCCGTGAAGTAATCCCTGGGAAAGTCATCAATTGCTGGCGGGGTACAGTTTAAGCCTTGATTGGAAGACACATGAAAACGCACAATTAGCCACTTTTATTGGGAATGGAAGCTGGCATGGTGATAAAAACGGCAAATGATTTCAGAGACAAACACATTTCATCATGTGATTCTTTTGCCAAAAATAACCAATATTTGCGTGTCATAATCCCAAAAATTTATATTTCGTGTAACATTGTGTGATTTGACTCTCTTTTATTTCACTTCCCGCGCTTCATGACGGTTATTTTGAGGGGAAAACACAAAAGCTCCCCCAAAAATTACAACTCTCAGACGCCTTTTATGTGTGTGTGTGTGTTTTTGTCTTTCAATGGGAAATTCACATGCGAAAATTGGAAAAATTCGTCGTGTTATTTTTTCCTATCGCAATGAACAAACAAATGAGATGAACAACATTACATAGGCTTCAGAGAGTCGATAAAATGGCAAAAAACTGCCTGTTCAAAGAGATCTAATTAAAGAGCAACACGTTATTTTGATGGGTAAACCAATAGTGAGGCAAATATTGTGCTAAATCCATCGTTCCACATGAGTAAATGCAGTGAATTGGTGCGATTGAATGCTAAATGTTGCCACTCTGGATGTATTCTTCCGCAGCACTCAAAGCGGACATTTATTAGTCTCACCTGAGATTGTATGTAATAACAAAGTGTACAATTTGTCCGAGAGACGCGACGTAAATTACGCTTGTGATGTCAGATTAGTCAAAATAGCGATATTTTCCTCATATAAAGAGTGCAAAATACGTATAAACAATTAATTTTTCCCCCATTTCCGTTGCAATTTTCACGACTTTATGAATAATTTTATCTCCTCTTATCGCGCGTATTCAAATACAAAAAAAAGAATGCGATAAAAGATCGTGGAAGGGAAGAGAGATGAAGAAAAATTACCATACAAAAGACATTTTGTAGCGCCAATGCTGGATATAATTCAATCTTTCTCCCGAACAGAGATATGAATAAAAGTGCAGAAATGTGATTTAGGAGATGACAAAATTCATCACGTGTGCATCTTGGGGTTAATTTCTGTGCCAATTTCGCATAGTGCGAAAAATGGTTGCAAAATGAGAAGAAGATTTAATATCTCAATTGAGTGTCTGACTAATTGGTGGTCTTTTATCTGCGACGCCAAGAGAGCAAACATCAAAACAAGCCGAGCGGTTGTAACTTTGCTAATGACACGGCAAAACATGCTTGAAAAATCTTTGCATGTTGAAAATAATTGTGAATTTCCTCGGAAGTTTGCGCGCGCGAGAATTCTGTATTGAAATTCACACTGCAATTCTTGGGCTCATTTCGCACATTTTCCACAACTATTCAAAGGATTCAGAGCAAAAAAACAAACACGTGAATGAAAATATTTTTCATTCATTTCTACGCACTAAATTTCCTTTCATTTTCTCCACCATATAATAATCTGATTGTCTGCAGATAAGATGCCTATTCAAGTAACTGGAGGCATCTTTATCACGCGCTCCTTAATTAATTTATGAAGCAAACTCGCTTTGCTTCTCTTTTAGGAGTTGAGATTTCGCATCACAGCCTTATTTTGTGATCGGTTGATTAACGAAATAATGCAAAATCTAGATATTAAGTATAATGAGAGTTTCTGAATATGATTCTAAAATGATTAAAAGTAATTTTTTTTCAATCTAATTACGCTAAAATTTGCCTCAGTGAGAAATGATTAATCTTTCTTCAGGTTGCGAATTCGGCTGAAAATATGTTGTTAGATATAAAATTGATTAGATAAATTAGTAGAGAAAATAGAAGATATGTTATCAAAATTACTACTGCAATTGTTGCGCTTCGACCCCGAAAATCCCAGCTCTGCACAAGCTGATCAGAGCGGTATTTGAAAATTCAAATTCAGCCTCTCCTATTAATTAGTTAAATGACCCTCTATCGCCATGTCGAAGCCTCCTCTCTCGCTATTGATGGGCAAGAAGTGGAGTTTTGTAAATTGGTAATTAACATCGCGACAGTATCGCGATAAATTGATCGTAAAATGTGTAAAATTGCCACAATGACAACTTATCAATGGGAGCTGAAGAATCTTCGCACTAAAAATAGATTGTCTTATTCATTTCAGATGCTATCGGATATGATACACAGCGTGCCACTCGGATGCATTGCATGGAAATGAGTTGGGACATTGGGATGATCTTGGGCATGGCGGAAAATGCATACTTTGGACTCGAGTGCCTCTCTCGAGTGCGGTAATATTTTCTTATATACCACTCTATAAATAAGTTGTGATAAGGCGGGGACACTTTTGTCAAACTCGTGGCTGAATGGTGATATGCAGAGACAATGGGCGTGATAATTTTTGAAAAAATTTGTGCGCTTTTGGAATGTCTCGAGAATACAGTTGGTTTTAATGATTGCCTGCACAGGAAGAAAGAGAGAGAGACCCCAATAGAGCGCCCTTATCATCAGCAATTGTCTGCAAATACGTATTATCGTATCGCATTTGGGTTTTGGGGCGCTATTGGAAGAATGTCGAGATAAAGCTCACACTAGGCCGATTGCGAAGACTCAGAGAGAGAGAGAGAGAGCGGAAGTCGGGAATTAAAACAAGTCCAAAGCTCTCGTGCGCGAGGAAAAGCTCTTGCGCGATCCCATTGGGTGGCTCGTGTACCCGCGACATCACAGATCCACAATTGTCTCTCGCTCACGGCTTTGGGACTGGAGGAGAGATGCTCAGTCTAGTTTTGCGTTTGCTTGTCGTACCGAAATGTATTTGGTTAGGAAGGAGGCATATTGTGTGCAGTTTTATTGTGGTTGATTAGGAAATCAGGGTGCCACTTAAGTCTTTGTTATGGAGTTAAAAGATGCTTTATAAGCTGGTGTGTTTTCTCTCTCTCACACACTCTGTCGATGTTGATTCTCACTTGCCACTGTCGCGGGTTGAAGTGAAATATATTCTTCTTTTGCTCACTTTCGTGTGGGGGATTAACAATAAAATATTGATGTAGATTATTTGCTATTGAACTCTCTTCAATGGGTTTAATCCATCACAAGGAGGCTTCCTTGCATGTTTTTGCACGCTCTCTTGAGCTTTCTTTCCTACCTCTCATTTCTGGGTGGCTTTTTATCCCCCCTTGTAAAATTCATTGGATTTTCAGCATGCTCTTTTGATATTGAGATCAACCTTCCTCTCGAGCACAGTGGAAATTCACACATTTTGAGCTCATGAGTGGGGAAAAGGCATTCTTATAGCGCTACGCTGAATAATATTGAGGAGAATTTTTGATGAGGGTCTGAAAGTTCCCCGTGTCAAAGCCTCCTCACTCCAAATGGTGAATGGTCGAGTAGGAAGGAAGAAAGAAATTTCTCGCCAGATATCAAGGCACAGAGAGATAGAGTAATGTTGTCTGTGAATCCCGTGTAACTTCTCTTAATATGTGATTTAACTTAATTGAATCAACACAAATCTCTTTCCACTCGACGTGGACTCTCTTCAATATGCATTCGAACGAGAGTGCTTGTATCTACAGATGGTAGTAAATTTTCAGCATCCTCACACTATTTGTCGCTCTTTTTTTTTATCATAAATTGTGACACTCCGCGCGCGAGAGATTGTACAATGTAAGAGTGATTGTGGCTATAGTTATACTTCAATTTGTTGCACTTTGACTTTTATACATGTTTCAATTTGAATTTATACTCAGGATCCTTGAGATGATTCGTCTGAGTCTTTCTCTCCACTGAATCTGGTTTAGTCTGGATGCTGATGATCCATCACTTTAGTGAAATATCATCACAACTGATAAACCATTTTTTTCCCCACTTAATAAATCCCACTTGATGCGTTGATCGTCGTCTCAATACACACTTTTTCTCTGGTGGTTTTTTTTCACACACGAAAATAAAAGAAACTTCACGGCACAGAGCGTTTTATGCGTTGGAGATTGTGAGTCGAATTTCCCAGCGCACAGCGCGGAAAAGTTGTCTGGGAGAGTTAGTGGTGATTGAGTTCGCAGCACAGGTTATTAATTTATATCATTGGCGGTGATTTTGTGACGGGGGCGAGAGAGAGTGGAGGCGCGCTTATGTAATTTTGGAGGAGAAAAGGTGGTGTTTTTTGTGGGTGATGAGTTCGTACCATTATTCCTCGCGAGACCCCAGTAGTCTTCCATCTTGATATCTTGGTAGTCACTGGCAAACTGATGGTGTTAGATACTCGCTAATTTTTTCTGATCAACACACAGTGTGTTTTTCTTACTTGCTCCGCGCCTCTGTCCAGCGAGAGTGAGAGAGAAGTGCGCCCCATCCCAAGCATATTCCAATTATTCCAATACACTCCCCACTCACACTCCGCCAATACACCCAACTGCCAGCGAGCCAGACTCCGGGAGCGCGCACGACGCCGATGATCACACGGAAAAGTGCCCTCGGATGCACACAGAGCCGCCGGGTGGCCGGGAAGGGGAAAAGCGCCCGGGAAAGTGCCCAAAACGCTTCGGAAACTCCTTATCTCGGCACTGACTCACGCTAATCTTACACACTCGCACGCTTATCTCTTATCCATTTGGCCACAAGAAGTCTTTGACTCACCGTCGCAGCCGTGAACTTCTCCTCGCCCAGCCCTCGGCTCGCAAGACACACAATCTGGGTGTTACAGAGCAAATTAATCTACACTCAATCACTCGGCGTAATTAATTGCTGCCTTTTATCACTTCACTAAACTCCAATCGCTGCAGATAACGTAGGCGAGGAAGATTTGCATGTATACTTTATGACGCAAATAAATCCATGCAATTTCACTCACACATCCGTTAATTGGCAAATAGTTGTAATTAATTTGCCAATTAAGAGACTCTCTTCGTGAAAATTAAACTCTTTTATGAATGGAAATTCGCTGCTAAACTTCCCGAGGTCGTTCTCAATTTGCATTTTGTGATTTATCACACCTGCGCAAGCATTTTCTCTCAATCGGCAGGTGATTAGCACAGAGATTGTTCACCTCGCGACTTCTTATCTGCACTCGCGCGGCTTATCAGGAAATTCGTTTTACTTTCACTTGGAATGTGATCTAAATTTCCACTAAACATCCCAATTGCGAAAAATACTTGTTGAGATGTCGAGGAATTCTTCACCTTTTAATTCTGTTTTAAAGGCGCAATTGAAGAAAAACAATTCATAGAATACTCTTTTCTCTTCACTTAAACCAATAATCTTCATTTTCTCAAAAGCTTCGGCCTGGAAAATCCTCCAATAAACACTCTATTTGGAGGATTCCATCGATTTTTCCTGTACATTTCTCAGAATACAGAGAAATGCGCTATTGGGCTTTCCCGCCAAAGCAATTTTCGACATCGAAAAACGGTTTATGCTGCGTGCAGCATATGCTCCATAGAGAGTGACAGCCCACCAAGGAGAGTTCGCGAACCAAAACAAGACGAATTTCTGTGCTTTTATCAGTGATAACGATGTCTCTCTTGATCAATTCCGTGCTGGAGGGCAAGAGTGAGTTGGACTTTAGCAAAGTGTGCCGCTCTTGTATGGGTCAGAAGGTGAGACTGGTGGGAAATTGGGGAAGAAAGTTGTGTTGATGGACACTTCCTGTTTGCTCGCTTACAGGTGCAGATGAAGACAATCTTCGGCTCGTGCCTGGATGACATGCTGAGGACTGTGTCGTGCGTGGACGTGAAGATGGGCGACGGCCTTCCGGACCAGATGTGCGTCCAGTGCGTCCTGCAAGTGAGCCGGGCGTTCACCTTCAAGCAACAGTGCCAGAAAGCTGACGCCACTTTCCGGCTGTACATGATGAAGCACATTCCGGAAGCGAAGAATCACAGCGCAGAAGTGGTGTTCGAGGAGGAATCCATCATTCAACAGGAGATTGAGGAGTGCCCGGAGAATTCCCTACCTTCTGTGCAGGATCACGAGGAGGAGATTGTCCAGGAAAGCGTCTACTTCGATGACGCTCTGGCCACATCGGAGGACATTGACATTGAGAACCTGCAGGAAGCCAGCATCGAGCTGGAGAAGATAGAACTCCTGCCGGAGGACTGCTGTGACGATGTCCTGGCCACGGTGAAGGATCTGAAGGTGTACCAAGCGAGTGATCTGCCCGTCAAGGAGAAAATTCCGGAGCCGGAGAGTCGCTTCGAGTGCCGCGAGTGTCACAAGAAGTTCGCCGACAACAAAGTTCTGCGGCGTCACAGTAAAACTCACTTGGTCGTGAAGCCGCACGAGTGCTCAATCTGCGGAAAGACATTCGCGGAGAGCTCGAATCTGACCAAGCACAAGAAGAAACACACTGGCGAACTGCGTAATGTGGTGGGCAAGCCAAATCTCTGCTCGGTGTGCGGAAAACGGTTCAAGTGGGCGAGTTCGCTGTCCAAGCACATGAAGCACCACACGAAACACAAGATCCTCACGTGTCCTTACTGTCCGAAGTACTACGTCGAGGCGCGCTCGCTGAGCATCCATCTGCGATCGCACACGGGCGAGAAGCCTTTCGTGTGCGAGGTGTGCCACAAGGGCTTCACGCAGCTGTGCAATCTCACGAAACACCTGCGCGTGCACACGGGCGAGAAGCCTTATCTCTGCCCGGTGTGCGGCAAGGGATTCAAGCAGAGCGGCTACGTGGGCATCCACCTGCGCACGCACACCGGCGAGCGGCCGTACGTGTGCCCGGACTGTGGCAGAGGCTTCGCCGGGTCCAACACGCTCGCCATCCACCGCCGCAGTCACACGGGCGAGCGTCCTTACGCCTGCTCCATCTGTCCGAAGCGCTTCGCGCGCCACGAGACGGCCGTCATCCACCAGCGCATCCACACTGGCGAGAAGCCGCACGTCTGCCAACTCTGCGGCCGCGGATTCAACAGCTCAGGTCATCTCTACGGGCACATGCGATCGCACAACTCCAACAAGCCCTACGAGTGTGACATCTGCAAGAAGCGCTTCAAGAGCAGCAGCAGTCTCAATGTGAGAGCAATTCTCAATTCAACTTCCTGGAATAACAATTGCTTCCCCCTTTCAGGTGCACATCCGCAGTCACACCGGCGAGAAGCCATACTCCTGCAGCGTGTGCAAGAAGAGCTTCTCTCAGCAATCCACTTTGTCCACGCATCAACTCACGCACCTCAACGCTGGAACCTTCGTGGTGTCGGAGAATCAGATTCTCCAGGCCAAGGCGGACGAAGGCCAGAGTGAAGCGGTAGGTCTTTAAAGTATGCTCAGAAAGATTACTTTGATTTGTATTTTATGCTCGAATTTTAATAAGAAATAAGATCTTTTATTAATGAAATGCCTAAAATGACTCAAGCGAAGACCAAAACCATCTCTTATGCTGTGAAATTTCAGTGTGAGTTTCTTTTAAGAGATTTCCAATGCTATGTTAACCCATTGATTGCATTCGGCTCGGCAAATATTAAATGTAAAGCAATAAAACTTCTTAAGAAGTCACTTGAAATCTTAATAATTAGATTTTAGGCATTTAATTAAATAAATTGTCGATTTCTGAAGTATTTTAAGAGAAAAATCTCGTAGAAATTATACGAAAACATAGCAAAAACATTTCCCTGAACTAATAGAGTTTGTAACTTCTGCAAAGTTCTGAAGGTCATGTTTGAAAGTTTTGCAAAAAAGTCTAATTTGCTTAAAAGAGTCAAATTTTACGGTGTTTTCACGTTATTTTGTGTGAAAATGAGGAAAATAAACCTCAATATCATTGCTGGAAGCGGTTAATAAACATCCCAAGACCGCTTAATTGATGATATTAGTTTCTCTAGCTACTTGATGAAATTGTGTATGGTATGCAATCAAATTTTGCGAGTGCAAGCTAAATTCGAGACAAGGAAGAAAGTTTATGATATCCCCGAGGAATGTGGAAATTAGTTGTGGAGAAACAAAATATTTTAATAGCATAAATTTGCACAAAGTATCCTCTTGCTGTGGCTGCAACTTAACTGCTTCTGCGGTGGCTGTGATCTGACCAGCAGTGAGAAATTTGCATAGCAACGTACAAATTGGGAATATATCGTTTCATAAGGTATTTGCCGAACATTCTCAAATTCAACTTTCGCTCTCTTTCCCTCTTGTTTTCCTCCACAGAGAGGAAATAGACAACTTTCCGCTTAGTGAGGAGTCCTTAGATATGACATAATGTACACAACACGTGAGTTTACACGAGGCAAAGATGCCGTGCAATATGTCTGGGCGTCCCTTTGTGGAAGACGACGAAGACGAGGATGTCCTAAAATAACAAAATCACAAGCATATTAGATTCGATATTATGCTGAAAAAGAGGCGCTCACGGGAAAGCTAAAGAGTCAATTTGGGTGGTTTCAAAGGACGACTTACAGCTCTATTTTGGTGGTGTGTTGTCTGAGGATTTTCGCTCTTCTTTTCAGCTCTGCCAAAAATTGCGCATTAAGAAAAATCTCCCCTCGAAGTTATAATTCAATTCATATGTGCTGAAAATCTTCGCAATTTCTTCATCCTTTCTTTCCAATGTACTTCTGTCTGAATTAATCCCGAACATGAAATTCCATTCACAATGGATGAGTTTTATTTTGGAATTTGAGCCAACTAACAAATTCACCCGAAATTCATGGTCTTGAGCACTTTGCGTCGCTTTTTTTATTTTTGTTGGACGTAAATTAAATTTCTTCACTGAGAAAATTCCGCACGGAAATCTTGTTTCGAATTAATTAGTGTTGCTCAAAAATTCTCCACTTGCGCCAACGTGAATCCGTGTTGTCAATTTTCATCCCCTAATTCGATTATGCTGTGCTGTCGGGGGAGAGAATATCCTTGGGATGAAAGTGATTTGGTGAGTATCACCACTTTTAAGTGGAAATTCTTCCCTGAAATTCCCTTTAATCACGGCGCTTTTAGCGAAAAGGATTTTAATAAATATTCACAGCATAAAATGCTTCTGGTCACAAAATTTGTTAAGCAATTCTCTCTAAGTTGATTGCAAAGTTCCCATGAAGTCTTGAGTGTTATTCTCACAATTTCCTGGAAGTGTTTCAATGGATTAATAATGCGTGAATTTCGCTGAATCTCTTCACTGAAGGAGGAATGAAAACAGAAAACACCAATGGAATATTGAAAAATATTGACAAATTTCAATTCAATTTGTTTCAAAACAATGAATATGTCATCAGACAAAAGAAAAGAATTATCTTAAAGCATTGAATCACTGTTTAATTTGCTGATTATTCGATTAGTAAATCACGAGCGTCGCAAATATTCACCCCTTGGCTGAGACTTTCGGTTTCGGCGCGCGAAATAGCTGGCAAAGGGCGATAATCGATTCATTTGAAGCTGTGAATGATAATGCTTGTTTGGAATGTCAACTCGTGTCATTAGTTTCAAGTGGCACCCAAGGCGACTCCGCATGACGCGAGCGACCGCAAAGCGAGCTTCTTAGGCGTCTCACCTTCGGGTAAAGCCACCTGTGTCATTTAAGGCTCTCTCCCGTGCTCCGGAGTCTAAATGTAAATTTTCTGGTGTGGCTGAGTGTGTAACGGAACCAGCATAAAATGTCCTATTTGCATAATTATACGACAATGTTTCTCCTCCACTACAGAATGCTATTCATAACTCTAATGGGTCATGAACAAATCTCAGTGACTATCTGTTTCCGGGCGCTGGTTTGGGGTTGAGTCGCACTGCGTGTGTGTGTGTGGGTGGCGTCACATTTCGATATGTATTGTTGGGCGCGAGAGAGGGTGAGTGAGCTTTCGTGATGGCGAAGCGGAAGGGGAATTATCCCAAAGTGCACAATCATCACGCTTTCCTTCTCTGCGTCTCGACAAATGCCAGTTGTAATGATGGAGTGTGGCGAGCATGCTTTATTTGTGATATCCAAGCCATTGTATAATTTATATGCCCTGGATTGTGTGTAAACCAAATGGGAGTAAATATTTTTCACATAACATAAGACTGCGGCATTTTTTCGGCTGCCATTCTATCCTCTTCAAACAACACACATGAATGTCGCGGGGGGCGGAAATGTTCCACGGCGCGCGTTCCTCCCGCCGAAGAGCGTGTGGGCAACAAATGGAGCAACTTGGGATGAAAGGAGCCGAGATGAAAATGGGAATCTCCCGTGAATATTTCGCTTGGTGCCCATGCCGAATGCAGAAGTGAGGCAGGGCATAGAAGAAATTGGAGATTCTTTTGTTATGAAATTCCCCCTTGAGTCTAGCGAAAAGCAGCGACAAGATTATTGGACTGCATACAATAAAAGCGTGTTGTTGAGAGTATGAAAATTCTCAGGAACGGGCTATTCAGTGAATGTAATCTTCATGAGTTGGCAATTCAGTTCAAATCCTTGGCAAGGAGTTAAATTACTATCTGAAACAGAATCTTATGACTTTGCCATCTAAGAAGTGTTTCGGGATATAGAAAGACAATTCAAATAGCTTTTATTAGGCGCAAACAGCACCAAAAAAAGTTTATTTATCAAAAGACACTGAACCATCCGCCCTAAGTTCCACTGTGTGTGTGTGTGTGCGTCTGCCGTCAAACAACCCTGGTTGCGCTCCTCCCTTGAGATCACAAAGTATATATAAATTTTCCCACGAAAAAAATCAATTTTTATTCATTTGAAAAGCAGAAGAGGATGAATAGAAATGCGAATAGAAGGAGGAATCTCTTCCTTATTCTAGAATTCCAATAAGACACACTGATTCAGTCTTTCGATCATTTCCTATGCTTCTTGATGTCTCTCCCTCCGCTTCCGGTGTTTCGCCTGAATCACAGATGAGTTGCATAAGTTCACTCGTTGGCCTCGATTTTCGAGCAGTGAGAGAGATCAATACGTTGCTCGGATTGTTGCAATTTAGATTTGAGATTTATCACGTTCTATTTTGACCAATCTTGAGCCCCTCATTGAATTCCCAGTATCATATTTTCGCGTGACGGAGCTTTTCTTCGGCTTCACATCACGTTTTGTGGGGTGAACGGACTTTTGAAGATTGTGATAAAATTCCACACTTCCCAGAGAGACTCTTCATTTTCATTTCTGTGCAGTCTTCCTCGTGTTTTATTCTTTTTCCTTTCCGCCGCACTTTCTAAAAATAGAGAGAGAGAGAGAAAAAATGGTCGTAAGTAGAGAAAGTCAAGTGTTCTGTGGAGAAAAGTTGGCAAAAGCTCCGTGTTTAAGCTCTTTTCGGCCGACTTAAATTGGAGAAGCAGATGGAAATAGCAAAGGGCGCTTCATACCGGGAAAATCTTTTCATCTCACTTGCCTCTCTTCTCCGTTGTGACTTTGATTTTTCACCGAGTAAACCCCCCCGAGAGTATTTTCTTCGAGAGAATATGTTTACAGACGGGCGCAGGGAAAAAAGGCACTTTTCTGGCTGCAACAATTTTCTCGCGCAGACTTTCTCTCGCAATTTTGATATGAGAAATAGGTATATTTTTCTCCATCACAGCAAAATGCCACCCATGTAGTCGCTATCTCTCAGTTGGAGGCCTGAATGGGTGGGTTTTTTTTCTTCTTCTTTTAAAGGAAACACTCACGCTTTGAGGCGCACTGAGAAAAATCCTGAGATCAAGTGAGAGACAGAGAAAATGGCAGGAAATGATGTGAATATTATCGCAATAATGTATGAAAAATGAATGTCTTCCATTCATTTCTTGCACTCGCTCTTCCACATGAGACCCGCGTCTTTAATGCCTCCCTCGGGGGTTGGAAAAAATTGAAATGGAATAAATTCGTTTAACTTCGCGCGTAATGCGGATAATTCGGTTGGGTGACGGCTAGGATGATGAGTATCTACATATGAAATTTCATTTAATTCTTCCCCTTTATCATCAATCTTGACATTCTAAGTAATTCAATATCACAGTTTTGTCGTTCTGCCTTCGCGTGATGAGTTGAGGTGAATTTTAATGTGACGCTTTTTGGAGAAAATCGTATTTGTGTAGGTTCAGGACAAGAAACAAGGACAAAAACCTCTATAAATTAAAGCACTGAAGGCTTCATATGGGAATAAACGGTGTTCAGTGCATAAACTGAGGTGAGTGATATTTGAAAATAACTCAGAAACTTCCTCATGTGTTGCCACACGTCTTTGTTGGGCTCGTCGCAACGCTCGAGCACACCTTAAAGCGTGGATAAATGTGAACGAGGCTGGAAAGTGCCGGTTGGGTTGTGTACGTCTCATTTTCCCGTCGGAGGTGAAATGAGTGATTTCCCAGTGAGAGAGACGGAGAGTGGGAGGGTGGAAAATGGGTGTTTTTTACTCTCTTTTCTCACCTTAGTCGCAAAATTACGATGATCAATGAATAAGCTTTCGCGTGAGAGCTTTTCCTCACCCCCAAACCTTCGCCTGTCTAATGATGTCTGTCACACAGTGTTAAATTACAGGCTTTCAAGGTTTGGGGACGTCTGAGTGTGAATAAATAACATTGCGTCGTGAAATCATGACGGTGGAAATCCTTTCAAGGGAAAACACATTCAGGTATAAATGCTACATTGGGATAAATTCATAAATTTAATTAACACGTCAATTATACGTGTTTGGCATTATTCCACTTGCTTCAATTGGATTGTAATTGAAATTGAAGTCCTCTTCCAGCGTCGTCTCGTCGATGGGGATGAAATAGACGCGTGAATAGGGAAGAGTGAGGCTATTTGAGACGTGAATATGAGGCTTGGAGAACTGAAACGACACAAAAGCGAAGAAGTTTTAATTATCTTCAAGTGAGATCTCTCAATGTATCTCGCTGTGAAGAAGCTCGAACACTGAAAAGTGAATTTAAAGAAAATATCAGTGGCCAATGCTGCCTCACTTTCTCCTACACGTAATGTTCGAGTGACTCTTTGAAGTGTGTACGAATGCAGGAGCTCTTGTGTCGTCGCACAAAAGGCTCGGATG